AATCCCTCTTGCCGGCCACCTCGGTGAGAAAAAGACAATTCCAACGAACAAGTACTCATTCTTTTGGCCTACTATTAAGCAAGATGTTAAAAAATTCTGTGAAAGTTGTAAAGAATGCCAATTGAGGAGAACAGTTACGTACAAAGATCGAATTCCAATTCAACCTATTGTTAGACCGGAAACCACCCTTTGAAGTATGGAGCGTGGATTGTATCGGGCCAACCTCCATCCAGGAGGGGTCATCGGTTTGTGATATGTGCAGTTGACCTATGCACCAGATGGGCAGAGACATAAGGCAGAGACCCGTCAAAGACATAAGTGCGAAAACAACATGCAACGTTTTGATGAGGTTTTTTACTCAAACTGGATTTCCAAAAGTGATTTGTTCCGACCAGGGAACTAATTTCACAGCCAAACTCACCCGAGCCTTTGAGAACTTACTTGGTGTGTCTCCACGATTCTCCACTCCAGGACACCCCGAGAGTATGGGTGCCATCGATCGTTGGAATAGAACCTTAAAAGAGATGATGAACAAAAAATATCCAAGAACATGGGAGAAACTGGGATTTGAATCTTCCCTATCTCCTGTTTGCCTACAGAGAAGTGCCACATAGCACCACTGGTTTGTCTCCCTTCCAGATGGTATATGGAAGAATACCACCAGGACCATTATCTTTCCTGAAAGAGATATGGACAGGTGAACGTAGCATTCCAGTTACAGCTTCCCGTTCAATTGAAAATTATCTACAGGATCTTTTAGAAAAATTAAGAAAAGCTCATGACATTGCATCAGCAAATTCCAAAATATCTCAAGAAGAGTACACTTCAAGATACAATTTACGTTCTCAAGAAAAGAACTTTCAATGTTGGGACAAAGTTCTCGTGTTAATGCCATCATCATCACATAAATTGCTCAACACGTGGCAAGGACCAGCTACCGTGATCAAACTTACCAGGCCACACTCTGCCAAAATCGAAATGGAAAACGGAAGTATTAGAGACTCCATATAAATAAGTTAAGGCCATATATTGCTCGTGCAGATCATGTTGGTATCATTTTTGACCAAGATGAAGAGTTTGGAGATATCCACTATGCACCAGCAGATCTTATGAATAAATCTGCTGATGATATCTGGACCCATTTACAAAATTTGAAAGGCGACTTAAAATATTACCAACGGGAAGGACTATTTAAAGTACTAAAATCTTATGTAGATGTTTTCAGTAGCAAACCTGGTCAAGCCAGTATTGATGGTCATGACATCAAGGTTACAGAAGGATGTAATCTGAAAAGATTGAGGCCCTACCGTGTTCCTGTTTCACTTCAAGAGGAAGTCGATCGTCAAGTTAAAGAAGTGTTAGAATGGGATCTTATAGAACCCAGTGACAGTAACTGGGCACATCCTATAGTATGTGTTGCAAAAAAGAATGGCGGCGTTAGACTGTGCATAGACTTCAGGCTTTTTAAATAGCTTCATAATCCGGACGCCTATCCGATGAAGATTGCTAAAGATTTACTATTCGAAATAGGGAAAGCCAATTCATAACATTCTCGATTTAACCAGGGATATTGGCAAATTCCTATGAAAGAGAAGCTAAACCCTACACCAGCATTTATCACTCATTCCGGACATTACCAATGGAAGTTCTCCCTTTCGGTTTGAAAAATGCTGGAAGTACCTTCCAAAAATCGATGGATAAGGTGCTTGCAAACCATAAGAACTACTGCCGTTCATATATTAATGATGTGGCAATATTTTCTGAAACTTGGGATGGCCACCTCTATCACATCGACCAAGTGTTTCAGACACTGAGAAACGCAGGTCTAACCGCAAATCTAGAAAAGTGTGATTTCGGAAAGAGTCACGTGAAGTTTCTAGGACATGTAATAGGTCACTCTCCAGATCCTGAGAAGGTAGAAGTCATCAGAAATCTGTCTAAGCCTACCACTAAAAAAGAAGTCAGGAGTCTTTTAGGGCTAGCAAGCTACTATAAGGATTATATCCCAAATTTTTCTGAGATAGTTTTACCTCTAACAAACCTTACAAAGAAGAGTGTTCAAATAATATTCCATGAAACTCTGAAAAAGAAGCAGCTTTCAACAAACTTAAAGGAGAGTTGATTAAAATGCCATCTCTGCATACTCCGGACATCAGCAAGCCCTTTCACTCTATACGGATGCATCTGCTTTCGCAATTGGAGCGTGTTTAGCTCAAAACGACGAACATGGCAAAGAAATGCCCATAGCATTTTTCAGCAAGAAATTAACGCCCTGTCAACAACGATGGTGAACCATCGAACGAGAAGCATTTTGTGTCATCGAAGCCTTGAAAAATTTGACACATGGATTTTCGGTGCCAAAGTGCAGATTGTGTCTGATCACAATCCCCTCACTACTTGACCCAAAGCGCCCTCATGGTGCTAACTGTCTCGTTGGGCCTTAGCGTTACAACGGTATAACATGACTGTGACATACCGCAAAGGAAGTTCACATGGAATGCTGATGCTTTGTCAAGGTTAGCTGTTAAACTCTTTCTCTCTCAATGAACTCTAAGCAACATTGTCTCTACGGTGACGAATGTGCTTCTTGTGGGGGGACTTGTCAAGATCGTGACTTGTAAATATCATGACTTGTGAAGATCGTGACTTAAAGAGAATGTGAAATATAAATAATAGGACAAGAACTTGCATTTTACGGTGTGGCAACAAGAAGAGGATTCGAAAGATTTTTATACATATATATATATATATTTTTTTAGAGAGTTTTAGGATTTTGAATATTTTAATGTTGTAAGAGTTTTAACTGCAGTAGTTAAGAGTTTAAAATTTTGATAGTTAAGAGCTGCAGTATTATTTTTTTGGTTCTGTTTTTTAAATTTAAATAAAAGTATTTTGTTTATTCTGAAAAATTAGCTTTATTCTTCCTACAAGATTCAATATTCATTATATTGAAATAAGGAAGGGATCTTTACTTATATGTTTTTTTAATGTCGCATTTTCCCCTTCAGTCAATAACATACGTCAATAGACATCTTTAAAGAAAGAATATGTGTTTGTTTTGTCTTTGGTTGGCGCTTGGATGGAAAGCAAATACTTTCCTTGCATTCTACAGCTGTTATTCAGTCATAACATTGGCACCAACAATCCACTTCGGTAGACGCGACAATAAATGAAGGAAGTCCAAACAGGTTTTCACCACACTGGCTTCCAGGAAATACTGTTTTGTAACGAAATTACTTTCCCCTACTTCCTCCTTGGAACATTTGCATATTTCAAATTTTCTCTTTTCATTCATAGTATCATTACAAATTCATGGTAGTTAGCAAGTAGTGTGCTTGAAATGGGAAAGTACAGCAGCTATACAGTGGCTTTTAAACTGAAATCATAGAATTTACACAGGAAAATGGAAAAAGAGCAGCAGCAAGAGTATATATGAACGAAGTGCAATTAAATCCACTAAAGCAAACAGCATGATCAACTGGAGGCAACGAACAAAACAAGATGTGTGTTTCATTATTCTAAATGTAAGTTTCTGAATTTGGAAAAAAAGGTAGTTGCATATGTTCATGATATGCGTGTGCAAGGGTATGGAGTAACAAGGGAAATGTGCCAAATAAAAGTGCTTGCTGCAGCATGAGAAAACATTCCTACATTGCAATTCAAGACGAATGAAGGCCGGTTGCGGCTAATGAATGAATTTTCGTTTCGCCGGGGTACGACAATATGTCAAAAAATGCCAGTAACTATGAAGATAAGTTGAAGTCCTTTCATCACTTCATTATTGCAAAACGCAAAGCGAATCATTATTTAGCTTCACAAATTGTGAACGTCGATCAGACGCCAGTTTATTTTGATGCTCCAGACAATTACAATGATAATGAATGGGGTGCAAAATCTGTACCAATATGCAACTGCGGATATGAAAAACAAACAGAAACTGTTATGTTTTAATATTTAATGTGTATATATTGTGTTTGTGTAAAAAATTAGTGTGTGCTGATGCAATTGGAAATGATTTGCAAGGAGGAAATAAAGGTGAGCTAAAAAAATGTTTACTGATTAATTTATTTGCACTTATATACTGAATATACTATTCACAATGCTTTTTTTTTTTTCTTTCTTTCTTTCTTATGGTAGCTTGAAATTAGAAATAATACCCCTCACTAATTCTCCACTATGTGGCTGCCACTACAGTGCCTTCACTTCCACCTTGTGTATTTTTATGCTACTGTTTGCAAGCAGGAAGATTTTACATTCGCACATGCAGATATAAAACCAAAATTTTTATACAATGCATCAGAAGAGATTTTTTTTTAAATAATGTGTGCAAGATATTAAAAGAACCAACATTTATTTAATTTGTGTAAAAGTAAATAATAAAATTTCAAGTGTTGGTTAATATGTGTCTCTATATTGTGTTGATGTGCGAACTAATACGGGCCAAGTCATAACATCGGCGCCAGCAATCCACTCAGCAGACACGATAATAAATGAAGGCAGCATAACCTGGGTGATTTATATTATATATGTGGATTGGAGAAAGCAAGTTTGTAAATTTTAGGTAGCTATTAAACAACTTTAAATTTGATGCTTTTAATACTTATGCCATTTTCTCCACTTAGAACTTAACTTGGCTATTTAAAAATGAAATTTACACCCAAAATTACCGATGAGAAAAAGCGCAACATTTGAACGACCTGTGTAATGTCCACACTTGCATTTTAGTGATGTAATTTTAGTAAAAAAATGTGTGGACATTACATGAGCATATACGGTAGTTGCCTTTTTGCTGGAATATACATCATATGTACAATTTGTTAAACATATCTGAAAGCATGGACCAAAATTCGCTGCTCTCTAAGAAGCCATCACTACAGCTGTAATAAAAATTAAAAATATAGCAGCAACTAATTTCCGAAAAGGATTTCTATGTTGAATACATTGATTCAAGATAGCCAAACCAATTATAATGTCTAAGAATTCGTATAAAATCCACTAACTTGAATTATGTCTTTGGTGGTTGTAGCAGCATAATGGAATACTGTTTCTTCATTTACATCCAGTATATCCAATCTTGCATCCAGATCTACTAAACACATGACTGAAAATATTTGCTGAGCCTTGACAGCAACATGTAAAGGTGTCATCAAAGTATCCTCACACACATCATTTATTTGGCTAAAAAGAAATACTTATGTGAAGGTGACTATTTATAAAAAGGAGTATGTTGAAATATATAAATATTTTCAGAAAATACTAATAATATTATTTTGAAGAAAAAGAAAACCATAAATCTGGTAACAACAGTTTTAGAAAACATGCTTTAGAACAAAGCCCAACTTTTCTTTGCAGAAAAAGAGAGACATATTTATCTGCAAAAAGTTTCGACAACTTTATTTCAGGACAGTTTCTCTTTACCAGATTGTTTATCAGAGAAATAGAATTCTACATCAGAAAGAGGACAAAGAGTGGCATGTTACATATATAAAATACAAATAACATGTAACGTTTTGAGCATATTTCCATCTGATATTGTTTCCATGTAAATGCTCAAGACATTTGTATCTCTAGATTAATCTCTACATATAGTAAAAAAGAAAGAGTCTGTGTGTGTGTGTGTGTGTATCTTTCGTTCGCGCCGCGCGTAAGCTAATAGACCCACGGTTATGAAATTTGGTACATAGGTGCATCTAGACCAGTGCTCCACAACCGGTGTGCCATGAGTAGGATATAGGTGTGCCGCAATCAAATACATGTATTTGACAATGCAAACTAAAAATAAATTTCATGTTTCAATAAATCGATTAAATACGAATTTATTGAACAAAGGGAGCTTAACACCTTTTCAACAGGATTTTTTCTAAAAAAATTTTTAAAAAGGTACAGTTATTTTTCTTTGATTTTTGGAACATTAAACTTTCATCCTTGGGACTGCTTTCATAAAAGGAATTTTGGAAAAATGATAATACTTTGTATTTTAAAAAAATTTTTTAAATGAAGCTTCCGAGTACACTTCTCACATCTTTAAAAATGTGATTTTGGCAACAATTTTCCTGTCTTATTGTTGTTGATAGATTTTTAATGAAATTGCATCATTTTGAATAGTTTCATTCTTTTAGAAATATGGGTTTGGCAACAATTTTTCATTGTATTTCTTATGTCACTGTTTTTAAGAGATTGGCATATTTCATTGTCATTTTTATATATAAAAATGTGATTTTGGCAACAATTTTCATGTTTTATTGTTATTGATAGATTTTTGATGAAATCACATCATTTTTAATAGTTTCATGTTTTTAGAAATATGGGTATGGCAACAATTTTTTATCATATTTCTTATGTCACTGTTTTTAAGAGTTTGGCATATTTCATTGTCATTTATATATAGATAATACATTTTTATTGATTTTTTTTTTTTTTTTTTTTTTTTTTGATAAAGTTGTTCTGCAAAGTAAAATTCTGCGCAGAATTTTATGTTATTTGTTTGCATTCATGTTATTTTTTGCTTATTTCACTGTGTGTATGATATTGAAAAGTTTTGCATGTTTTTTTTCTTCAACAGAAAGTTGGTTATTTTTTATTAGGATACTTAATATTGTTAAGGGATATAGCTTATTTCATTGTAATTTTTTCTCTCGAAATATAAGATAAAATATCATTTATTATACTTTGCTTTTCAGAATTTTTTCTTTTTTGTATTCTTTAATGTTATTTATTGCTCATTTCACTGTTTTTAAGATATTGAAAAGTAAAGTTCTTAAACTCCTTTACACCATTTGAGTTCTTAAGATTTTACAAAGGGAAGTTGGTTAATTTATTTATTAGGATAACTAATATTTGTATTAAGGGAATAGCAACTGGCCAGCTATTTCATTGGAATTTTTTTATACGTATTAACGTTTGGTGTTCCGTGCAGCCATTTCTCTGGTACACTTAAAAGCCAGACGAAGGCTGGCAGCAAAGCTACTAGTATACAATAAAACATCAAAGATACTTTACTTAAGAGGATTGTTTATTATTGCATTACCTTCTGCACCATTATTATTAATATCTTACAGTGCTCAATGATACAGTGCATTTTTTATACTAAGGAGAATACAATATTCAGGTAGCAAGCAGTAAGTCAAGCTATATCATACCTCTGAATTGTTTTATTCTTAAAGCACTCAGTATACCCAAAATGAGCAGCTATATGAGCAGCAGTCCAAGTAGGCTTTTCTCTTATTAATTGAGAAACATTCTGAAGAATGAATTTGGATGTTCCAATTTCAGGCACGCATTGTACAAGTAATGGCAGTTTCTCTCTAAATTTGCAGAATAGCAACTGGCCAGCTATTTCATCATTTGTTCGGTAGATGCTGCACAAATATAAAAATGAAAAAAATATAATTATGTGCTTCACAGTTCTCTTTGAAAAATTACACATAATTCATCTAATAAAACAGTTCAGTTCATAAATTTCCACAGTGGCACAAATATTCACTAAGTATATATTCACTGAAACAAAAAATTTAGATAGCAAAAACATAAAGTTTCTAACCAAAAATATTTGACAAAAATCCATGTACCCAGCGATATGTTTTAACTTAAAAAAACATCACAGAACTGCACAATCTATGCAACGAAGGAATCTATGAACTACGCACACCTCGCTTAAATAAATTAACATAACAACAATAAATTTCAAAGAATACCATGTACACAGGGTTCTGTTTAAACTTTTTTAAAAAAATCTACGAATTGCACAATCTAGGCATTGCACACTAATCAACAAAATAAACTAAAATAAATTACAAACAATTTAAAAAACAACAACAATGACAGAAATTCATACTAAAAAACAATGAACATAACATTCTACAAAATAAAAAGCACTTACCATAATCAATGCTTCTTCAAACAGCAGAAATATCAAGAGAATACAAAATCCAGCATATATTTGAGAATAAAATTTCGGCAGTCGTATGTCTGTGAACAAAAGTTTCCACGATTTTGCAATATCATACGTCTTTCTGCAATTCAAAATTCTGAAGGTAACGATAAAAACTTTCTCCAAAGTTAACTTACTACACGAAAACCATGATCTAACTCTTAAACTCCGCTGGCAGCCACATACTTTACCAGCAACCATTTGCCTGCAAACCTGCACTAAGTCTATCATCGTACGACTTCTCACAACAGCTCCGCATTTTGGACACGCCAAACTTCGTTTCAAAATTCCTGACTCCCACAGAAATTCCAAAAATACACTTTGATACGCATGAACACACCCATGAACGAAAGACTCCTTAACAACTCCAACATCGTACCTTTTTATACTAAGTTTACTTTGCACACAATCTAAAATACAAGACTGAAATTTTTCTACTACGACTTTCATTGAACATTCCATTTCAAAACTCGTACAACATGAAACAACAAGCAAATAAAAACCACTGCAGTGAAAAAGTAAGTTTCAACGTCAAAAGGGCTGCCATACAAACAACATCCTCCCCCAAACCATCGCAGAACATGCAATCGTGCCAAAAACCAACGCAGAAGACATATCACTACACTGGGCGACCTGAGGGCACATATAAGAGGCACCTTACTTTTTAACTTTCATTTAAAATGAGTTTTGATATTATTTTAAAATGAGTTTTGATTATATTATTATAGCCAGATTTTCTAGGTATTAGGTCATCCGAAAAGTTTGGAGGTTTTTAAAATCGAAGCATGTGTTCTTTACTGCTGATAAGGAGTGACCTTGATAGAGATAGATGTTTAAATACAGTATTTTTTCTCCTGTTGCATACTTCTAGCATGTGTTGGAGGCATGATTTTCTTTTCAGTACAGTGCTAAGCATATGAAACAAGTTCATTTTTGTGATGTTAAGCTTTTATTTAAAAAGGAAAAGCTGCTCATCAGATTTGTGCTGAATGTGGGAAAATTACTGTTTTTTTTTTTTTTTTTTTTTTTTTTTTTTTTTTTAACTGAGAAATTTAGGCCCAAAAATTTCAGCCATAAATATGATGTCAGTTCTTGAAGATGAAGTTCCCGTGAACAAGGATCACAAATATCAAACAGAAAAAACAATGTTTTCATTTATATTCCTCTTGAATTTTGATAAGAATCAATGGAATACACACTTAAAGCAACACATTTAATTCATTTTTATTATTTAGCAATTTACTTTTAATGGATGATATAACAATATTTATATATTTCAGATTATATACAATTTAATTAAGCACTGCTAAGGATGAAAACAATTCCTAAATATTATGACATCAGCTGTCACTGTTTATTTCCAACAAATACATAAATAAAAGCAAAATTTCATGCAAAAATTTTACTTCATTCTGATAGCTCATGATGTTAATTATTCCACCATTCTGCAATAAACAATTTAACCTATTTTTTTAAAGGCAAGACCTGATTAATCCAAATTCTGAAGTAATTCTTCAATAAGATTCCCGCTATTCAGTTTTGCCTAGCTTTCCCCTAGTTTCTGCCACTTTCATAGCAGAATTATATTATTCAGTTTTTGCACTATTGGGTTTAGCTAACTTGACAGAAATTTTTCACATTTCTAGTCTACAAACACTTTTCAGGGTTTTGCTACCTAATACTAAATGCTAGAACTTATCGGGGAAAAAAAAAAAAAAAAATTAGGATTTGAAAATTTTGGTTCTTTTATGATGATATGTATATAGTTTCTAATTATCTGCAATGCTTTTAACATACAGTAGGACTAACACATTTTTTGCATATTTTAAAATATATATTCTAAAGAATAATAGTAAGTTAAATATGTAGTTTAGTTTCAACAACAGTAATCATTATTTGTTTGCCTTAAAATTCATAACTTTTCTTGCTTGTTACGAAAGAGAATGTTTGTTATATTCAATATCATTCTATATAATGTGAGAATATCAAAAATATATTCGTATATCTATATGTATGATGCACAATTTTGGCAGCATTGAAATCTAGCTGAGACGTAGCAATACTATTGATAGATACTGATGCTAGAGCGCCATCCATTTTTAAAGAAGAGGAGTCGGCTAGATTAATTCTTTTTTACTTAAATTTCATTTGTGCACAATTCAGTGGCACTCACTCATCCTATTAAAACATTTACAATTTTGATTAATGCCAAAGAGCGAAAGTAGCAGCACACACGTAATTGGAGAAAGGCGTCTGGCCAATAGGAAAGCACAAGCAAAAGTAATGCATCAGTTCATAGAAAGAAGGGAGGGAGTCAAAAGTTTTTTTTTTTTTAGCTTTGATTTAAAATTTAATGATTGGCCAAGAAGCATCTGCATTAAGGTTTACGTAAGATCACATGATTAATTTGGATGATGCACTTTAGATTTAAGCATTATTTTTAGGACAGATAGATGAAGTTCTAAATGAAATAGAAAATAAAAGAGGTTATAGTGAATTAAATTTAGAAGCTCGCTTTCATATTTTTATCTTACTCATATATAAAAAATATAAAAAATACAGAAGAAAAAGAAAATAACAACAATGTCAACAAACAAAAAAAATCATTACAGTTTTATTAAAAACTTTTCAAGTTAAATATAATGGCTTTGTAAATTGAATCTGGAGTTAAAAGAACTGCTTGAAAAAAAATAATAATACACTGCAATAAAATTAAAAAAGTAGAAAAAAACTGTATTATATTCAGACTCTTTACATTATCAAGAGGAAGTCAAGTCATCTAACAATAATATCTTTTTTTCCAGGAATATCTGCTATGCTTCTGTATGTTTGAAATTAGACATTTAATTTAATAATCTGAATATTTTCCATACCTATGAAATTTAAAAAGTGCCTCTCCTAGATATCCCCCTTTCGTCAACCAAAAGTTAGCATTCAACTACAATTAAAAAGAAACAAAATTTAATCACAAAATTTTTTTAAAAATGCTCAGTATTTAAAATGTTTTCTGAAGCCGCTCAATATATCTGAATGTGCTCAGTATTTTTTTAATCTAGTCTCAATAATAAAATTACACTTGCTTAATAAGCTTACAATTTCTATGCAATTACCTGTATGCTTTATTATAAGTATGATTAATATCAATCTGCATCACGATATCAAGCTTTGCTGTATCATTCTCTGATGTCTTATACAAAACCAAACAGTCATCCCGGCATACCACACTGTTACAGATGTAGTCATCTGCATGGACTTCTATAACCCTGTTTGGATCATTGTTGGAAGGAGCAATTCGCCTGAAGCCCTCAAGAAAGCTATGAAACATGGTGCTTCTTTTAGAGACAGCTAAAAAAATTAATTATAACAAATAAAAAATGTATTCCTAAAAAAATGACAACACATAACATAGAATAAAGCAAAACACAATGTTGAAGATGATAGAAATTATTTAACTAAATATCAGAAAAACAAACCAGTTCTCATATTTAGAAAATAAAAACAGAGGTTAATAAATTGTTTTACAATTTTCACTGTAAAATTTATAATAAACACCTTACATTATGGATCAACATGTACATAAAGATATCGTGGAAATGAATCTGAACAACAGCACCAATAGAATACAATTAAAGGACTCACACAGCTCTGCTTATATATAGAGTTATGGCTCCTACAAATTGCTTTCCAACAGGAAATCATCCAAATCACACAGCTCTGCTTATATATAGAGTTATGGCTCCTACAAAATATTTTTTAGCATTTTGAAATTCCCCCCTCTTACCATGAGATTTGAATCCCATAGCATATTTATGGCACATCTGAAGAAATCGTAAAATAAATTTCAACAAAATATTAAAAAAATTGAAATTGCACCTTCAAACTGAATGGAATGAATATATGTGGCAGAAATTTGACTTAAATGCTAATGAAATTTACGTTTTTTAGACTTAAAACAATCATATGCAAATAGTAATACAACAGATTACTTTAAAAAAAAAAAAAAATTTGTAGCTAGTATAGCCCTTATTTTTGTTTACAGCTGTCGTGATATTTAAGTACAAATAGAGAAATTCCGGTAATATATTGTATATTGATTGATTTTTACTGCATTTAGCATTCTAAGCGTTTAAAATTGGGAAATTTGTAAACTGCCCGAACATTTTCATGCTCTACTGTAACTAATGAAAGTTACTTCGTGAAGTGAAATACTTTCTAGTGGTAAATAGCTTGTACTTACAATACATTAAAGGAAACACCGAGAGCCGGCAGCAAATCTAAGAGTAATTATCTAATAGTAGTATACGTTTGCAATGATTAACAGGAATACCAGTGAATTCACCGAATCTCACACACATGAAATTTAAACAGAAAATGAAGATAAAGTTCATAGACCAAATTAATGACAGAACTGAATATGCATAACATAATAATGTTAGATGTTATAAATAAATTCATTAAAATATTTAAATGTATTTCAAATGCTAAAAAAAATGCAAACACTTTTTAGAGGTTTTGTTTTAAATATTAACGAAAAAAAAGTGACATTTTGCATTTCACAATTACATTCAATTTTCCTTAACTTACCATCAAACTACGGAAAACAACATGACATTTCTTAGAAAAAACCAAAATAAATATAATCAGATTGCCATTCAGAAGTACAATAACTTCTAATACCGAGAAGTTTCCTCTTGCGCTAGATCACATGATATTGACGCATGGAGATCCGAGGAGGATAAAATTTCCGAACCTCCTTGCAAAGATATCAAAAAATGAATAGAAAAAGAATGTAATGAGTTCATAAATTTATTATTTTCTGACAAAAATCGTATATCCAACAAGGGTAGCAACCTTACATTTTACAATATTCAATTTCTAAACTTTATGCATAGTCCTTTCCGATAAAAAAAAGTTAAAAATTAAATAAAATTTAAAGAAACGATTTGTCTTCTGGAACAGCATCTAGGGGCGCCAAATTGATGTTAAGAAATTTCAGAATGAAATTTTTTCATTCTTGGCACACAGAAAGAGGCGCAAGATCTTCAGTTGTCCCCGGGTGCTGAAAACCCTAGCTACGCCTCTGATTTTATTTAATGTCTCAATTGTTGTATTCCAAGTTTTCTTTATTTATTTCCTCTTCTTTTGCTAATTATCAGTATGAATCTTATATTTTGAAGAGTTTACGTCGAGATAAAATGTTTAACATTATACAGTAATATCAAGCAACTGACTTATCGAAAATTGATAATTTTTCACCACAGTAGTGGTAAATCAATACAAAATATCGCTAAATTAGTTAATTTATCCCATTCTACACTGCAGTATGTCATAAAACGCTTTAAAGAAGAAAATCGGATTGAAAACAAGGTAAGAAAAGGTCGACCGAGAGAGTTAACTAAACGTCATGAGAGATTTATTATTAGAAAATTTGTGAAAAACCCACGTTTGAGTGCTGTAAAGTTTTCTGCAGAATTTAATGCAAAGTTTTCACTTCATTTTCACCTGAAACCTGTTACGAACGAGTTCTCAGAGAAGCTGGATTATATGGGCGTTCTGCCGTAAAAAAAATTTTTGTTAGTCAGAAAAACAGAAAGCTTAGGCTTTCCCATTCGCAAAATCAATGATAAATACACCCGAAACGTATTGGAAATAATGTCCTCATTTGCTGACAAAAGCAAATTTAATATTTTTGGCTTCCGATGGTCGAATAACTGTATGGAGAAGCTAAAAAAATGGAACAGTTAAGCATGGCGGTGGAGGTGTTCTTGTGTGGGGGGGACATGGACAGCATCAGGACTAGGTAATTTGGTATTTATTGATGGACATAATGAATCATTCTCGCTTTATTTAAATATTTTATGGGACAATTTAAAATTATCAGCCCAGAATTTGGGTATTGGAAACAACTTTATTTTTAATCATGATAGCGATCCTAAGTATACGACTCTCAACGTTCGCCTGTGTGTCTCTATAATTGTCCACTGGTTTTGAAAACAGCACCTCAGTCGCCAGATTTGAACCCTTTAGAACATATTTGGAAAGAGCTGGAGGCTAAGGTACTAAAACACGACATCAAAACCAAAAGCGAACTCAAACCAGCCAAGATGGAAGAATGGATGAACATTGATACAGAAATTACAAAAAAAAAAAAAAAAAAAAAAAAAACTAGTCAAATCTATTCTCAGACGTTTAAAAGCTGTTGTGGATGCTAAAGGACATCCTACTAATAGTAATTTAATGAAAAATGAAAATATTTACTAATATGTCAAGATTTTTTTGAAGTGTACGGAGACTTTTGTGAGATAAAACGTTTGTCAATTTTTGATTATTAATTTCTTAAAAATAAAGTTTCGCTATATTTAAAAAATATTTCATGTAATTTTGTTACGAATAGATTATAGATCTTACTATTAAAATCTCATTCAGAAAGTTTACTTTTAATTAATTGATAGAGCGCTATTTCAATGAAAATCATAAGTGTATGAACACTTTCTACGGACCTTGGTGACGGCCAGCAGGTCACGATGCGGCGAGCATGCGCATTATGACCGCCGTCTGCCCCTGCTACTGGAATTACTCCAGACTGGCGACGTTTCTCGCTAATTTGGCATTGTGCTGGTCGATTTTAGTTAGGAAGTCATCCGACTGAAAGTGGAACTGTGAATTAGCATGTTTAATTTATAATAGTTATGAGTGACTCATATATATATATATATATACATTCATACGCAAACACATATATCCATACATTTTTCTGAATCCAGCCCCGATAACAGAAGAATACAAGAGGGATGAACACTAACTGAAATTATGATTTCACTTAAATTTATTAATTATTATGATTTCACTTTGTCGTCCAAAAATCTGCCGATTCTAAACCAAATCGTATTTCGAATATTGCTATTGAAAAAAGAAAACCATTCGAAAGAAAAAATGCACCTTTGTATCTGGTACATTCATGCATCATAAGTGAAAGATATTGAATTTGTATAAATAAAAAAAGATTTAATAAGATATAATATTAATAACGTGACATAGGAAGTAATGGCCAAAATCAGAAATATAATCAAATAAAAACGAAATAAATATGCTTTGCCTTAAAAATTTGTCGAGAAAAAACTGGTGTTATAATAAATTAAAAACATGAGATTGTAACTAGGAAATTTTATTTCGAATGAATGTATAATTAGTTTTTCAAGGTTGTTTGCCACAAAAAATTACATCATGGTATCAAAATGCATAGCCTGTTTTATTTCAGTTAACAATTTAATGTTAAAAATGACCCCACAAGATGCCGATTTCAACTTCATAATTGTATTGCTACTCATTAGAACCCTTATGAATAATAACAACAGTAAAATATACATTTAATTCAAAACATACTTAATACAAGTTTCATTTTGTGACCTTATTAATTTCATGGATATCCATTACAAAGAGAAAACGTAGTAACTTAATTATGCAGTTAACGTAAATAATATAAGTTGGGGAAAACCTCATATTACACTTCAAACTTTTACATTTACAGATTCAGAAATTAAGAAAATACTCATGTAAGAGCTGCTGTAAAGCTGATACAACACACAAGAATAAGGAATTCTTGCAGGCTTTCTTATTTATCTAATCATTATTTCCTATCTGGTTCATTGCGTTTTGCAGCTGAAATGGTGTTCGGTAACCATCGAACTAGCTGTGAATTTTGTAAATATAACGCTGATTTTTGTTGTTTGACTTCTGAATTTGTAGGAGTTGCTTAGTTTGTTGTTGTTTAGAAAACTGCCGTTGTTGATTATAGCGAATTCGCGGATTAGCGTTCTTTAGCTGTTTTGAATTACGTTCTATTGTACATTTGAGTAGTTAAAAGATAACTACTGTGAGATATTGTAATACTGCATGATAATTTGAGAAAATTTAAGCATTTTTGTTGTGATAATAATAAATTTTTGTTCATTTTTCATCGGACTTGTGCATTCATTTCATAACGAACCCGTACGCACGCAACAATTTTTGGTTGGTGTCAGGAGTGGGGTTTGAATGCCAATAACAAGAGCGATGGAAGAGCAATTAAGACAGCTTATATCAGTTTTGCGGCATTAAGGAAGAAATGAAATTGGGCCAGGAATCCGTTAAGGAAGAGATGAAATCTCTTAAAAGATGAGATGAAAGCAGGTCAGGACGAAATGAAAAGAGAAATTACCTGCGTAATAGAAAATAAATTTGAGGCTATGGAAGGCAGAATAGACGCGGTTGAAACTAAAGTTGGACAAATAGAAGAAAGAGTTTCTTCGGTAAAAGAACAAGTAGAAGAAAGAATTTCTTCTGTAAAAGAACATATAGAAGAGAGAGTTTCTGCCGTCGAACAACAAATTGATGATAGGGTTTCTGCTGCCGTCGCCAAAGAAGTTGACAGCCTAAAGAAGTGCATAGCGACGGTAGGAAACAATTCTGAAGGTTTCAAATTTTTATCGATGCCTGCTCGTTCCGTTCTGAAACTATCTACATATGATGGGAAGACCTCCTGGCAGGTGTATAGGACACAATTTTCTATCGTTGCGGATGCGAATGGATGGGATTCCCAAGCTAAGGCCTGTCATCTCGCCGCTTCTCTGAGAGCAGACGCAGCGGATATCCTGCAGACGCTTCCCGAAAATCAAAGGCTAGATTTCGAAGCTCTATCCGGCGCTTTGGAGCTGCGCTTCGGCGAGAAATGTTTAAAAGACTACAGCAGGCTCCAATTAAAATCTCGTCAACAGAAGCTCACCGAAACGCTTCAGGAGCTCGCCACGGATGTTGAAAGGCTGTCACATCACGCCTTTTCGGAGTGCCCGACAGAAACAAGGGAAATCCTGTCCCTGCAATATTTCATCGATGGCATCCGGGACCCTGAAATACAGAAAGCACTGCGAATGGCGGATGTTAAAGATCTGAAAAGCGCTTTAGTGTATGCCATGAAATTTGAGGCAGCCCAGCAAGCCACCCGTCGAGACCGCCATCCAGTCAGAGCTGCTCAAGTCCAGGAGCCAGGGATCAAGTCACTGCTCGTCTAGACGATTTAACTAGACAACTGAACGCCTTGAGACAGAATATTGGTGACAAGAAGAAACCGACCGTAAAGTGCTGGAACTGCGGTGCTGAAGGACACATCCGACGAAACTGCAGAACACCCCAGGGCACGGATGCTAAGACCGCTCCTAACAAACAGCAGGGAAACTAATTAGTGGCCATCTCGCGGGGCGGAGGTTGCCAGATCATGAAAAGCCCCAGTTTTAAAGCGCTTCAGATTTCTGCAGTGAGAGGCGGCAGTAATGGACTTTTCATAATAGGACATATTAATGGAGTTCCCTGCAATATGACGATAGATACAGGAGCCAACGTTACCATCATCCGAAAAGATTTGGCTCAACAACTGGGAAGCAAACTTATTCTGGACGCCGCCCTGCGTTACCCTACAGACTGTGTCCGGTGAGAAGATCAACATCGATGGAAAAGTAAATGCTAACATCACGTTTGGAAGTGCCGCTTACCATCACACGGCATATGTAGCAGAGATCACTGATTCTTGCATACTCGGATTGGACTTTCTAAGGAAATACAATTTTTCCTTGGACTTTAAAAATAACGAATTGCATTCTACATCTGAGGACATAGCGTTATTTGGAGTCAATGATGAAGTTAAATCTGTCCATAAAATCATAGCAC